CTTGTCTTTACTCCCGCATTTGCCGCTGACTTGTAATTCTTCGGTCCTATGCCTTGCCTAGCCTAGACGCAGCCCTTCGTCCCCCCCGTCTCACCACGAAATAAGACTCGACTGACTCTTCTCAGTCACTTCACATCTAATCACAGCGTAGGATTTCCTCCAAGCTCTTGTCCTTTTCTGCTTTGGTCCAATACACTGTAGAAACAGCACCTAATCCTAGTCCTTATATGTCCCCAGATCACTCTCTCCAGTTCAAAATATCCTTCCATCAGCAAAGAGAGAGACAGAGACACAGAGGCATGGATTTTCATCTTAACTGGACTTACTTAATCCAAGAAAAGGTCAGATAAACTGCTCACTCTCTTTACTTCTTTTCTTTGTACCATGTCATTAATCACTTCTTGGCAAGAATAATTTAGGTGGGCATTTTGTGTTTTGTTGAAACGTACAGGGTATGGATGAGATGAGGCAATCTTTACTGCTGACTATGGAACTGGAAGACACAAGACTAAAGGCACAAGAAGAGATCAAAGCAAGAGATTGTCAAATAGCCCAACTAAAAGATATGCTTAGTAAAGCCATCAAAGAAAGGGATGAAGCACAAAATAAGTGCCAAAATATGTTGTTTGAGAAGCTTTTGCTTCAACAACAATCAGCTCCACATTCTGGGATTTCAAGCATTGAAGATGATCACCCCAGAAGAGGAATTGACTCCAACAATGGTTTTTCTTCATCAGATTGTGAAGAGAGTATTGTTTCATCACCACTCCAATTGCCACCACAGCTTCCGGCAGAACCCGAACTGGAGTTACCAATAGTGATTGATAGGCCATTGCCGGAAAAAGGCAAGCTTTTGCAAGCAGTAATGAAATCAGGGCCACTCCTACGGAACCTTCTCCTAGCTGGTCCTCTTCCGCAGTGGCGCCACCCTCCACCACCACTTGACACCTATCAGATTCCACCGCCACCTGTAATAGTTCCACCACAACCTCTAGCACCACCAGCAATGCCCACTCATTTCATCAATGAAGACTCATTGCACAACATCATACCGACCAGCAACGACGTTAACAAGATAAACAAGAAAAGAACACTGTCTGATCAGAGCTCTGATTCATATATTGACTTGAAGTACCAAAAGGTTTTCCTCCAATGACCACTAAGAAACATGGTTATATTTAGTACTCCTATCATTTTTACTAGTATATGAGAATGATATTGCAATCGCACTATGCAACTGATTTTGCATTTGTACAGTAGTTGGAATTAGGAGGTGAAGATCCAAAATTGACAATGTGAGACTTGTTCTATGCTTTTTTCGCCAAAATTGCAGTTTCTCTTTCTTCGAAGTCTTATTTTTCTGCTTATCATTTTCTTCCTAGCATCTACCTTGTGGAAGAGGGTATATTTCTTTAACGATCACGCTCTCATTGGACCTTATTAGAACTTCGTTTTACAAGCCGATTTTAAGAGTAAATTTTACATGGAATTTACTGAATGTACAGCATTTGCTGTACTGTAGCGTTTACAGCCCTCACCCAAGAGTGGGGTCCGCAACCCCAACCGATGCATGTGTATGTGAACGATGTTGTACACATAGCATGTTTCATTTTAGGTTATATTTGATTCAACATGAAATGAAATGTTGGACCAATTTGTGTAGTCAATAGATAAGGAGGGAAAGCCCCCGGGACATAGTCTAGTGGTACAAAGGATAAAAGTGAGGTTATCTCACGTCTTGCTGACATTCGCAGTGACAGTCACAGTGTAAGGGTTCGATTCCTGAAATATAAAATTAGACTTCTTATAGGCGCAGTGTACAGACAACTCTTATTTCCTGTTCTATTGGGATATATCCCACATTTTACCTTCTCGCAAAATTCTAGAGACAGGACGATAGGAGTTCTCAAAGTTGGGTTCAACTATTTTATTTTTTTATTTTTTTTCTTTCTAAGATAAGGAGGGAAGATGGAAACGGGCAACAACCGTAAGGTGGGAAAAGACAGACATGTCGGGTTGAGTGGGTACCCACAAATCAGAATCGGGATCTACTAATACAACTTTTTCTCATTATTTTAGCTTGATATGATGTTTCTGAAATCATTTAACGTTCTTTATAATTATGTCTCTTTTCTCATCTTTTTTTACACAGCTTGTGTAATTTGGTATCCAATCTGCACCTTAAATTATTATATGCTTAAAGCTAGGATATCAAATTATTGACGGAGTTGTTGGTGAAATATCAAGTGCGAATCTTAAAAATAAATCTTAAGATAGAAACTGCTGTCGAACACTGCATTTCATATCAAAGATTTGTGACCAGTTTTATCATTTTCTAACATATATTAAAGCACCCGTGCTTACAAAGTGACAGCCCGTGAAATAAAACTTTCCTTTATATATTTCAAAGTCAAATAAGAAGAAAATATTAATCAACCACCAATTTCTTTTTTGAGTCATACAATGTTTGTACACGAGGAAATGCACTTTGTGTGTAGTCCAATGCCTTAGAAAAGCATTTTTCATGGCAAAAGCCCACTGAATAATCAGACTTGAATGTACAATGATTCGCTTTCACATTCTAATCTCAAAATTGCTCTTTAATGGCATACAACAAACATTATGTAGTAGAAAAAAGTTGGCCACCAAATGACAATAGGCGGCAACGGTTAGAAGACATAATTGACTCAATAGGGGTACATAATTTTCAATACAATTTGACAAAATTTGCAGCATATTAGAATGTCTATACCAGTAATTTTGACACCCATAGCCAATCCGGCTAGGGAATATCACACTCGGAGAGAACCAACTTACACAAGTGAACGACATTAATCTGCACAATGGATGCCGTTTCTTGAAATTATAGACAGAAAATTTTCTTCTCAATCATCCTCATTTTCATCTTGATTGTCTCGTTGATTGTGCTTCTGAGCAGTATACATCTCCGCGATCTAAACAAGCAACAGAGCTCAGACCAACCATCATGTCAACACATGGAACAAGTAATCAAAGCTGTGAAAAAACTGAACCAAGAATGGCAATAGTTCTTACCATATCCGATGATGATGCCTCCTCAGGATTCTTATCTTCTCGGACACGAAGTAACCGTGGAAATCGCAGTGAAATTCCCTTTATATAAGATTAAGGCATGTGAACTATTCAATTAACATTAATGAAAAAGAAAACCAGCAATAAACTGCCAATATAAGAACTCTTAGTTTGTGGTGTTCATAAGTGAACGCCCATGAACACAGAAAAATGAATAACATTTCAAATAGAGGGAGTGAGTGCAGAACCGAAAAAATGACTAGAATATATGGCCTCGAGAGCTGACACCCAAAAAATACTTGATAACAAATGCAAGAAAACAATTCAAGGTTTTCTTGAGCAGACACGTGAAATGCACTCAAATGTACGGTGGGAAAAGAGCAAATGCACCTTATCAGGATCCACAATTCCAATAGCAGCACGATGAACTGGGCTGATAGTCAGATCTGCAGATTTAACCTCCCAAACCTAAAAGAGAATCAACTGAGTGATTACCTCATTGAGAGAACCAAATATTCTACAAAATGAGGTTAGGATTAAAGTACTACATTTCCAAGAGGATTAAGAAAGAAAAAGTGTTAACAAGCAAGATAATGAACAGCAGAAAAAATATGCTAATAAATGCTTGGCTCGTTCGGAAACAAAATTTCACATTTTTCTCCAGAGACGCGTGATTTATAAAGGTCTTTTATTCCTCCATCAATACAAGCTGAGGTTGGGTTACCCATTCTAGATCCTGTCTTAATACAGCTAAGTATGCCAATCAAATCTTCTTGAGTATAATATGTTTCACATCTCCATTTACCACATCACTATCCTCAAATCATCGATTCTCAAACGGTACTTCGCATGATTTTTGGCTGACAATTTTATAAAAGGATAGAAGTTTTCTGGAATCTCTGGCGATTCTCCTAGTTAGAACGATCTTATCTTATTCTCAACAGGTTCCTAATTTATTGTCCATATATGTCTTCAAGCAAACAAATATTTAGCTGCTATTTGAGGCTATTAACCATGCCATCTGCATTCCATGTATGTGATAAGAAACTTCAGAATGAAGTGAAGAATTCTATTAATCAGCAAAATGCATGATTACAGGAATTGAAACCAGACTGCTTTACTCCTCAAATTGCCTGCATATCTCCTACCTTTAGCCCCCTATTTATAACCCGTTTCTAACAAACTTATTCCCCTCCCCACATGCTCCAAAACAGAATTTAGTTTAACCTTCTTTCCAGATGGTTCTCCCCCCTTCTTGAGTCTTTTAGAATAGGTGAAGGGGACGGGAGGCCTAACACTACCCCCGGTTTCCAAACACCCCTTGTCCTCAAGTTGGAAGTCGGGGAAGTGTTGTAAGATAAGAGTCCACTGATTCCAAAGATGCATCTGCCGCAGGCAAGTTTTTCCACTATACTAGTACTTCCTTCCCTGGAGGTTGAATCGGAGGTGCTTGACGTATGCCCAAAATTTGCTCTGGTTCTACAACCCATTCCAAGTCAGCAGTGAGTTGCTGAGGAAGCAATTGATTTACTGTGTTAGATCCCAAGGCCTTCTTCAATTGTGATACATGAAAAACCGGATGTATTGGGGCGCTGGAAGGCAAGTCTAGATGGTAGGCTACTGGTCCTATGCATTTCAGCACTTCAAACAGGCCAAAGTATTTAGGCCCTAGCTTCTCATTAGGTCGTTTTGCCAAAGAACGAAGGCGATATGGACGTAAATTGACATAGACTAAATCCCCTTCAGCATATTAGACATCCCTTCGATGTTGGTCCGCTGTTAACTTCATCTTATCTTGGGCATGACTGAGATGAGCCTTCAGGTCATCCAACATTCGATCCCTCTCCCGCAACTGCTGTTCAAGGATTGGCTGCCATAACGAATTAGAGGCAGGGGGTCCCTTCCATAAACTGCTCGAAATGGAGTTGTGTTTGTAGAGGCATGAAATGTCGTGTTATATCAATATTCAGCCCAAGGGACCCAAGTGGACCAGCCTTTAGGTTTGTCATAGGAAAAACACCGGAGAAATGTTTCAAGGCACCTATTAATAACTTCAGTCTGTCCATCCGTTTGAGGGTGGTAGGTTGTGCTCCGGCGTAGAGATGTTCCCTGCATAGGAAAAATCTCTGTCCAAAAATGGCTCAGGAAGACCTTGTCCCGGTTAGAGATGATGGAATTAGGAACACCATGAAGCCGTATGATTTCTTTAACAATGAGGGCTGCTACTCCTGGGGTTGTGAACGGATGCTTCAGTGGTAGGAAGTGGGCATATTTGCTCAGTCGATCGACCACAAGCAGCAAGGCATTGTATCCGCCAGATGTGGGAAGGCCTTCAACAAAATCCATGGAAATATCTTCTCATATTTCACTGGGTATTGGTAACGCTGCAGGAGTCCGGCTGGAGAAAGGGCAAGAAACTTGTTTTGCTGACAAACCGCACATTCTTCCACAAACTTTTGGATGTCTTTCTTCATCCCTTTCCAGTAGAGGTTGCCGGCTAGTCTTTTGTAGGACCGCAAGAACCCAGAGTGTACCCCCCTGGTGCTGCTATGGAATTCCTTCAAGATAGAAGGAATTAGGGAAGAAGTTCAAGGAATGACGAGGCGACCTTTGAATAGTAACCTGCCTTGCTCGACTGAATATCTGGGGTAAGCATCTGGGTCCTCTTGTAGAGCCTTCATAATCTTTGAGAGCAACGGGTCATTTTTTACCTGATTGCTTATCAACTGGACATCAATCACCTGAGGAATTGTGATGGTAGCTAGTTCAACTGTGCTGGGAACTCGTAACAAGGCATCTGCGGCTCTGTTTTCCCTCCCCAATCGATAGTGTATCTCGAACTCATATCCTAGTTGTTTGGTTACCCATTTCTGAAATTCTAGCGAGAGGACTCTTTGCTCAAGGAGGAATCTTAAGCTGCACTAATCGGTGTAGACTATGAATTTTCTTCCCAGGAGATAATGTCTCCATTTTTGGATAGCGAGCACAATTGCCATCAACTCCCTTTCTTGGACAGATTTGTGTTGTGACTTGGCAGACAACACTTGACTGTAATATGCGATAGGCCGCTGATCTTGCATGAGTACTGCTCCCAACCCGTGAACTGATTCATCTGCTTCGATGATGAAGGGCTTAAAGAAATCTGGAAAAGGCGACGGGGACATGTCATAGCCGATTTTAGTTTTTTGGAACGCTGTTTCTGCCTCTTCATTCCATCTAAATGCGTCCTTAAGTTGTTGGGTTAGTGGCCAAGATATTGCCCCATAACCCGCCACAAATCTCCTGTAGTAGTCAGTCAAGCCCAAGAAGCCCCTTAATTCTCTAAGGTTGCTGGGGGTAGGCCAATGCACCATTGCTTCTATTTTGTTTGGGTCGGCCGACACTAAGTGGCCTAAGTATTCTATCTATGATTGGACGAAGATACATTTCTTCGCGTTAGCATACAGCTGATGGGCGGCTAAAGAGGTAAAGATTGTCTCCAAGTGTTGCTCATGTGTAGGGAGATCTTTACTGTAGACTAAAATGTCGTCAAAGAAGACTAGCACAAATTTCCTTAAATACGTCCTAAAAAGTTGCCGGTGCGTTAGAGAGACCAAAGGACATGATAAGGAACTCATAATGTCCCTCATGCGTCCGAAACGCAGTCTTATGGACATCTTCCTTTCTTACTCTGATTTGGTGATATCCAAGTTTAGAGAATACGATGGCTTTATGAAGCTCATCCAATAACTCGTCGATCACGAGAATCGAGAACTTGTCCGGAACTGTCACTTTATTCAATGCTCTGTAATCTACACAAAACCCCCAACTACCATCTTTTTTCTTGACTAGTATTGGACTAGAGAAACGGCTGACACTACGCTGAATAATCCCTACTTTTAACATCTCTCGAACCAGCCGTTCAATCTCGTTTTTCTGAATGTGGGGGTATCGAAAAGGCCTGACACTAATTGGCTCGATCCCCTCCTTTAATGGAATGGAGTGATCTGTGGCTCGGTGGGATGGTAACCCTTGTGGCTCTTTAAATACCAGCTGGTGTTTCTGTAATAATGTCTGCACTCACTTTGGCAACTCCACACTGCTTTTCATCCCAACGGATGGCTCGTCATACTCTACCCAGACTCCCTGCCCTTCGTTTTGTAATGCTTTCACTATGGCCCTTAATGAAACCCAAGATTTATTAAGTCTTGGATCCCCTTTTAACGTCAACAAAGTCTCGCCCATTCGAAACCTCATAGTGAGAAGTTTCCAATTCACTTCCATATTACCCAGACTTCCCAGCCATTGCATCCCAAGTACCACGTCTGTACTCCCTAATTCCAAAGCAAGAGATCTTCAACTATAGTCAAACCCTGTAATTCCAAAACCACACCCTTACAAATACCCATTCCTTTCACCGACTTGCCCATTCCCAAAGCCAACCCATAATTTGTTGTTGCTGTGGTTGAAATTTCTAGCTTCTGGACAACATCTACTCATATAAAATTGTGGGTTGCTCCACAGTTGATTAGCGCTGTTACTGTACTCGAGCCTACCTTCCCTTTCAATTTCATGGTGCTGGAGGTAGTTAGCCCAACCACCGAATTTAATGATAGTTCTACCTTGTCTACCACTTCGAAAGGTTGTGCCGACTCTAAATCATCAATTGCTTCTTCGTTATCCTCCCCTTCAACTAGCAGAACCCGTAGCTCGCGATTCTTGCACTGGTGTCCCACAGTAAATTTCTCATCACACCGGAAACAAAGCCCTTTGTCGCGTCTCATCTACCATTCCACATCCGACATACGCCTGGTTGGACGTTCTCGCCAGTCGCCGACCGGCTTCTCTTTCACTGTGACCGTTTTGATAGGGAACGTCGTCTCTAGCTTCCAGTGATTTAGGAGTAATTTGGAGGTTCTGCGGGCTGCTAATTCCCTCGTTTCTTTGATTATGGAGTTACGGTCTTCCACCTTTTGGGCCAACTCCATAATTTGGCCCACTCCTTTTGGGCTCAGTATCCTGATTTCGGCCAGTATCTCTAGCTTGGGTCCATTAACAAAAGTGCTTTCCAAGACTTCATCTAGTATCTCCTTCAGTGGTGCAGCCAAGACTTCGAACTCCCGCCGAAACTCAGCCACCGTGTCTCTTTGTTTGATTGCCAGAAACCTTTCACAAATACTTCCCTCCCGCATTGGCCTGAAACGCAGCAATAGCTGCTGTCTGAACTGCCGCCAATTTTGAAACGGAGCTCGAGCCTCCGTCCATTAAAGCCAGGAAAGTGCATCACCTTCGAGGCTCACCCCTATCGCCCCCATTTTTTCCTACTCGGTTAATCCATTAATGTCGAAATATCTTTCTGCAATGAATAACCACCTGTCCAAGTCTGCTCCGCTAAAGATGGGCATCTCGAGTTTATCAACGCTTTGCCAATTCTCACCCCTGTCTAAACTTCCACTGGAACTCACCTCGCTCGTCCCCTCTAGCCATTTGCCATGATCCAAGCTGTGTTGTTCGCCCCTGATTGCCGGAGGGTTACTTAGAGGCAGTGATACTTCAGTAACATTGCTGGATCCGTCCTCTATATTTCTGCCTTTTCCAGCTTTTGGATTTGCAGTACCATGGCCATGCTTTGGGTTAACTGTTCTACTGATTTTGCTAAACTTGGAAGCTGCCACATCTCGATCTTCAATTCTTCGATTTCTTTCTCCATTGCTTCTACCCTGCCATCAGTTCTCTTTTGGGCCATCAGGATTTTGGTGCTCTGATTCCAATTTGATAAGAAACTTACGGAATGAAATGAAGAATTCTATTAATCAGCAAAATGCAAGATTACAAGAATTGAAACCAGACTACTTTACTCCTCAAATTGCCGGCCTATCTCCTACCTTTAGCCCCCTATTTATAACCCGTTTCCTCCCCCCGTGCTCCTAAACAGAATTTCGTTAACCTTCTTTCTAGATGGTTCTCCGCCCTTCTCGAGTCTTCTAGAATAGGTGAAGTGGACGGGAGGCCATGTTTGATTAAAAGACAAGAAGCAAAGAGCCAATCAACTAGCTTTACAATATGCGCTTAATAGGATAACTAAAGGGCAAGAACACCAGAGAAGCTGCATTATGGGACACCAAACGATATTTAGCAGCAAATTGGTTTTAGAATGAGTTGACATGGGCTAAAGAGGTATTCTACACTCAACTAACAATGATGCATGATGACCCCCACAAATGCGTGAGAGAGAAAGCCGCACGCAGGGGTTGGGGGGGTTCATATCTCAACAGACCAGAATAGAAGGGAAAAATCCAAAATTTGATGCCTAGGCACAAAGTGAAAACATTATATAGGGCAACAATAAAATGAATAACTGCAGCAAATGCTTGTTAAAAACGTTATATACCAACGGGAGAATTAAAAACTTGTAAAGGAAAATGAAGCAAAGATAAAGTAAACTCACATGAGAAGACCAAAATGGATAGAGCAGTAGAAAAACAAGATAACATCTTAGATTTATGACATAGAAACAGACTTGTTCCTACCTCAATGGGTTCAAACCATACATCTGGAGTGATTGAATCAGAATACCTGTAATATGACTGGACAAGACAAGTATTTTAGAAAAGGTGCAGTCCCATTTAAAACCCCTTATAAAGGGCACATCTATCCCAAAGTAAGAAGCACAGATTTCAATTCAACCTTTGGCTTGGGAATAACTTTAGAGCGAAGGCTGGCAGAACGTTCTTCAAGCATTGCTTCTGAAAATCCAGTACCTACAGAGAGTCACAAGAATCTAGAGCTCTAAGACTGAGGATATGAGTACTGAATTCTTTTATAGCCATCAAATGGCACTGATAAGTTGTCTGTCATGAATATAGAAAGATCATTATATGTTCTCTCCCGTAAAGGTAGAAGATATGTTGGCATTACAGCTCAGTGAAAGAAGTAAATAGCCTACCAATTTTACAAATGCTTTGAAATTCCTCTTTGGAAGTATCGTAACAACCAAGCAGAAAGGCACCATACACACCTACAAATAAAACATTCATTAGCCATGTTATTCAGAAGAAAACTAAAAAACGTTCTCAAAATTAAACGATTTGCACTAAATAAATCCACTGTTTACTAGGAAACAGAGAGGATCAACAAACTTCAATTAGAAGAGAACAGGGTCATAAAAAGTCCAAAGGAAAACAGCTGCTCCATGCATCTAACCCCATAGATGGTTGATATGGACTCAATAGGGAAGAGATTTTGGTAGCCTTACCAGTGCGTTTTCCCCGTCCATGGAAAGCACCAATTGGTACCAAATCCAGAGAGTCACCAATACTGCAGAGCATAAAAGATCGAGTAAAGTTCATTAAGCTTAAGAGGACATATTCCTTTGAAGTGGTAAGTCGTTGCACTAACCTATCCATGTAATCCTTTTTCAGTTTTAACCAATTATTAGACCGTTTCGACGGCTCATACGTAGCATCTTTATTCAAAGTCTTGATGATCAACCCCTCGCAACTGCCATATACAACGAGGCAAAGACATAAAACACGAGGGAAAAATGTTTACTGGTAGTCAAGTAGTTCTGTAAAACAGAAGCGGTTAAGTCATCCAAAAGCATGAAACAGCTTTAGCTTACTCAAAGAACTTTTTCCGTAGTAAACTGAAATAGATCCACAATTGATGAATGATATACTCTATTGAAAGTTCGAAAGTTTCAATCGTTTTAGCACTCATATGCCATGGCCTTGTGCTCATAAATAGGACAAACGCCCCAGGTTTCGATTATTAATATGCATCACAAGACCAAAAGCCCTGCTTGAAATGAAATTTATGGTTCCACCGTGGTCCACCCTTAATAATTAACATGGACCAATCACAGATTATCATAACAACATCCAAATCCTTTTTGCACATCTCCACCAACCTTAAAAAGATATACATGCAAGTTTACTTGAACATTGTGCTTAGTTGATTGTATTCAATTCTAAAAACTAGCTGCATTTAAGTTCTCTATTTGTTCGATTTCAGTCTGCTTTCACACAATGAGCTAAGGGTCTAGTGGCAAGGTTAGCTATAGAGAGATCCACTTTTCTATGCTTTTAGGAGGGAAGAAACAAAAATGAATGGAAATATGTAAATGATCCAAGCAGACCGAATTTGGAATAACACCCTCAAAATCGAAAACTGAAAATGAAATCGAAACTGAAACGCAAGCCAAACAGACCCTTATTTTCAATGAAATGGAAAAAATATACCAAATTCATATATGCATTGCAAAAAAAAATATATATATATATATAAATAAATAAACTAGGGACGAGCAGACTTCAGCTTGAATACATTGAAGAAGGAAGAAAGTTTAGATGTTTTAAAATTAAAAAAAATGCATTGGTAAAAAAAGCAGAAGTTTTTGCGTAAAATGTTCCTTAACATATATTATATTATTTTATGTATTTAACCAATTATTCTTTTATATTTTCATTAGCTTCCCAAAAGATTTTAAATAACATTACTATCTTATATATTTAACAAAAAATAGAAGCCCCATTTGGCCCCCATTTTTTTCAAATTTTTTTTTTTTTTTTTTTTTTTTTTTTTTTTTTTTTTTTTTTTTTTTTTTTTTTTTTTTTTTTTATTTTTTTTTTTTTTTTTTTTTTTTTTTTTTTTTTTTTTTTTTAAGAATGTGTGGTTGAAAAAGAATGAATAGTTTTCAATTTACGTATAATATTATTTTATGGAAGATTGTGTGGTGCAAAATAAGAGAGATGAAAAAAAATAAAGTGAATAGGGGCTAAACGGAGGCTTAATTTAGCATTGGCTCGAGTCAGGGATGGGGAATTTTATTATTTAAGTGATGTTATTAATATATTGAACATTCATTTGTCGAAGTTTTACTGTATTTCCTAAATGTGTGCTTTGCACTCCTATAATAGAAATCTTCTGCCCCAAGCGAAAATTAAAACGAAAAAGAAAGAAAAAACACAACATAGATATCTCCAGTTCTGTCAACAAAACAAGCATGATATCAGCTTAGATTAAAATTGTATCCACTGTATTGAAGAAAACGTAGGTCCCAGGACAAGAACTTTAATTCATTACGTATGCACACCAAACATCACTGCCAGGAGAACAAAAATAATAATAATGATCAGTTGCAGCAATATTAGCAACAGGATGAGAAGTGGAGATATGTAAAAGTTTGCTTTCCAGGTCACGAGCAAAGCAGTAATTAGCATTATATTTAAAACATCGGGAATTTGTGAAAATAGTAAAAATCACCTAGAATCAACTGAATCTTCAAGAAACTTTTGTATTTCCTCGAGATCATTTGATGTTATAGCAGTTGCAAACTGGAGGAAACTGCATTCTTCATCAAAAGACTTGTAAAGATGCTGCAAAAACCACATGCTCAAGAGGTGAATATCATATGCAAAGAGAATAAAATAGATAATGATCAATAATCAGAGTCCAAACTTGAAAGCCAAAAGCAAACACAACATAGACGCTTACTAAACTAGTACGGAACTGATTTCACTACTTCGTGATAGATTGCGAACCAAGAGTAAAGTTAAGGTTTATAATATAAAAGCAAAAGATCATTTACGGATATCAACATACAAATGTTACTATGAGAAAGCTAGATAAAAGATCATGGGAAGATATATGAGAGTAACATAAGTAATTTTCCTCTAGAATCACCCAGGATAACAATTCAGATATCACACAATAAACCAAATTAAAGAACAGAGATTCAAGGACCAAGCGTATAGTAAGTGAAACACGTTCAGCATTTATGAAGTAAATCCCAGGATTCTGAAAGTCGTGGAAATGATGCTGAAGATTCTTAGTTGAATAGTTGGAACCCGAGGAATATTGAGGACTAAACAAGACAAACCAAATAGAATGGCCAAAGAACATAAAAGATCTTAATCATTTAAAATAAATATATAGGCATAAAGCCAATGATTTGTGAACCATATAATCAACACATGAACATGGCCTTTTCACCGTCAACTAAGAAGGAAGAAAATATTTTAGAAATTTTCAAATAGCTAAGCTACAGGACATTGTACCTCTCTACGAACGTCAAGTTGCTCTTGTAGAAGTTGTTGTCCATTGAGATACAAGATATCAAAAGCAAATACGCAAACATTAACTTTGATTTCGCTCATGACAACATTTTTACGGGCACGCGTACTGAGTACCTGCCATTGACATGTTAGGAAAGTGTGTCACTTCATAAGATACTTACCATGTCATCAAAATTGACAGAACAAATGATGTTCTACACAGCATAAACAATAACCAATCTGGAATAAACAAAAACAAAACAAACAAGATGTACATGATTAGAAAGGGTAGCTGATGTAGCATTACATAAACACAAACACACACAAAACCAGTCATATAGGGAGAACTAGAAACCAGAAAAGGAAAGAGGCAAAAGAAGGAAAGGAGGAGGAGAGAAGAGAAGAAAGGGCGGTGGAAAAGGAAGAACACTCCTGCAACACTCAATTCAATTCAATGCCATCATATCTTTCTGCTATTTACAGAAAGATGGCATATATATCAAAACACAAAATATTAAAGGCATGGGCCAGCCTACCTATATAATGCAAGCCCAATACCAAATATAAGAAAAAAAGAAGCAAACACAGAACCAGTCACATAGGGAGTAGTAGAAACCAGAAAAGGAAAGATGAAGAAGAAAGAAAGGAGGAGAGAAGAGAAGAAAGGGCGGTGGAAAAGGTAGAACACTCCTGCAACACTCAATTCAATTCAATTCCATCATTTCTATCTACTATTTAAAGAAAGGATTGCATATATATCAAAACACAAAATATTAAAGGCATGGGCCAGCCTACCTATATAATGCAAGCACAATACCAAATATATATATTAAAAAAAAAAAAAAAAAAAAAGGCTTGCAAGCCCAATACCAAAACATAATAGCAAAACTAGAAAGCAGTCCAAAACAATATCCTCATCAACTTTCCCAAGGTGAAGAAAACTCAACTCTGTCGAGTAAATAACCCACAAAAGGCTGTAATCAGTCTTCCAACCATAAGCTGAATGGTTGGACAAACTTCTTTCAACGTCTATAGACGTGTGACAGGTAGTCTGGGCAAAGGAAGGTCCTACTGAATCCTATAAAACTTCAATAAATCAGGATCAAGCTGCTGGTGTATCTCTCTAGGGATCCATGTACAATCAGAATCATGTCGTCCTACCCAAAGAACAAGGAAGCGTTGAATCTCTCCATCATTGGTAAACAAAATCTGTTCATCTAAAATATCATCAATTTTATCTCTGGATATTGTGAAAGACGTGTTGAAGTAGGGGTAGTAACAGATTCAGGTTGAGGGTCCACAGACGGAAGTAAAAAATGATCATCCGAGAGCTTAAAATGACATTTATAAGCAACTAAATCCTTCACATTGAAAGTAGAGTGGTAGCCAAAAAGTGGTGGAAGATCACTGACATACGCATTTCGACCAATACGCTTTAAAATGTTAAAAGGACCAGTACTATGGGCTTGCAACTTGGAAGCGGATCCAGATGGACACCGTTCCGATCTAATTCGAACAAACACATAATCCCCAATATTAAATTCAACATCTCGTTTATGCAAATAAGCTCGAAATTTATATGATGCATTACTGGCCTCTAGTTTATTGATCTCAATGTGCAAGTCATGAAAATGTTGTACAAATGGCTCAGCTGACACAGACACATTAGCATGGGAGACATAGGGATAAGGTCTAAAGGCATTCTGGGTTTATAACCATGAATAACTTCAAAATGACTCATACCTAAAGACAGATTTACGGAATTGTTATATACAACTTGGGCTATAGGGAGGATTAAATCCCAGTTCCTAAGATTTTCCTGAACTAGACACCTTAATAGATTATTAAGACTGCGATTAATAACTTCAGTTTGACCATCAGTCTAAGGACGGTATGCAGTGCAGAATTTCAACTTAGTACCCACCATGTGCTATAAGGTTCTCCAAAAGTGGCTAGTAAACCGAAAATCTTTATCTGACACAATGGTCTTCGGAAGGCCATACAACTTAACAATCTCATTAAGGTACATTTTGGCAACCTTATACGCATCTGAAGTCTTGCTGCAAGGGATAAAGTGGGCCATTTTCGAGAAACGATCCATTATAACAAAAATATAGTCATTTTTTTGGAGTACGTAGAAGTCCTAATACAAAATCTATATTGACGTCTTGCCAAGGACGACTAGGGGTGGGAAGAGGTGTGTAAAGGCCAGTGTTTTGTCTCTTTTGTTTGGCTAACTGACAGGTGTTACACGTGTTAACTATCTTAGCCACATCTGTCTTCAAACGAAGCCAATAAAATTGACATTCAACCTCCTCGATTGTTTTATCACATCCAAAATGCCCAACCAAGCCTCCGGCATGACTTTTCCAAACTATAAAGTCTCGTACTGAAGTCCGAGGGATACACAATTTATTGGACCTAAAAAGATAACTATCCTCTAAACGAAAGCCACTTTGCAGGGCAAGGAAAATGTCCTTAAAATAAGGACATGACTTATAATCTTCTTTGAGTCGTTTAAAACCTATGACCTTGATACTCATAATGGATAAAAGGGAAATGCGGCGGCTTAAAGCATCCGTCGCTTGGTTTTCACTGCCCTTTTTATGTTTCAAAACAAAAGAATAGGCCTGCAAGTACTCGATCCAACGACCATGTCTAGCATTCAACTTCTGTTGGGAATTAAGGTAATGAAGGGCCTCATGGTCTGAATAAAGGACAAATTCCTGGGGTAACAAGTAATGATGCCACTAGCGCAACACTTGTACGACTGCATACAATTCATTGTCATAAGTCGAGTACCATAGTTTGACATCATTTAGTTTCTCACTAAAATAAGCAATACGGTGGCATTTTTGGCTCAAAACTCCACCTATTCCTACCCCGGAAGCATCACATTCTACCTTAAAAACTTTGGAAAAGTAAGGAAACCACGTGACTCAAGCTTCTGTCATTCTCCTCTTAACCAACTTAAATGCTGTGAGCGCTTCGTGCGTCCAATAAAACTCTCATCTTTTCATGCACTCCGTAATAGGAAACACGATCGTGCTAAACCCTTTAATGAAACGACAATAAAAGGTAGCTAAATCATGAAAACTCCTAACGTCATGTATAATTTTAGACTCAGGCCATGGCCTGAGTCTTTACAGGGTCAGCAGACATTACTGTCACGAAGACAATGAAGCCTGGGAAGACAACTTTATTTGTAAAGGGGTGTGGTGATAGTTTTAGGTAGCTTTTGGTAGACAGTTATCTATTGATTACTGTTTTGGTGGGCTGCCCGGTGGTGGTTCATGTTGTCAAGTTGTAGCAGCTTGGTTGAGTAGATAGAAACTCTGTGTACAAATGCAATATCTGGCAGATGCAAGGTTATGGGATGCAGATTGATAATGAAAGCCAAGTTTAGCTCCGATACTACTTTGATGTAGCGTTACATAAACACAAACACAGAACCAGTCACATACGGAGAAGTAGAAACCAGAAAAGGAAAGGAGGAGGAGAGAAGAGAAGAAAGGGCAGTGGAAAAGGAAGAACACTCCTGCAACATTCAATTCAATTCAATTCCATCATATCTGTATGCTATTTACAGAAAGGATTGCATGTTAATCAAAACACAAAATATTAAAGACATCGCCAGCCTACCTATATAATGCAAGCCCAATACTAAATATTAAAAAAGGAAAAAGAAAAAAGGCTTGCAAGCCCAAGTCCAAAACATAATACCAGCCCAAAGCAAAACTAGAAAGCAGTCCAAAACAGATGTCCTCATCAGTAGCTACTAGAAAAGGATAAATAACAATGAGGCACAAACAGCAAATAAACAACTGGGAGGAGGGCCATTTGGAAGTCAAAGAAAAGACAAAATGCAAAGCTAGAAATGAGGACAGTCAGAGATCCAAATCTATTTTTCACACATTCTAACTTTTAAGAGTTGTGCTCACTCATTTAATAACTTGTACAGCCTAAAAGCAGAGACATTAAAACCAACTACTATATTTCTTAAATATAATAACTTATAATATTATGTCATCACAGTGTAATAATACTGGATGGCCAGAATATAGAAAAGAGGACTGCACTACACATGAGATGAAATATTTTGGAAAAGTGAGTCAACTAAGACATTTCTCAGCGATGAAAATTATAAAGACCAAAAAAGAATTAGAAATTTTTTACTCGTGGAAACCGATAATATAAAATCTTATACTACCTTTGTCCCATAAAGATTGATTTGATTTTCAACTTTTGTCTATCCCAAATTATACGTTGCTTTCCTTATTGAAAGTAATATATATATATATATATATATATATATAAATGAACTATTTACATGACCTATGTTCCTACGCAAGGATAAACTGCAGACATCTTTACGAAAGGACTATCAACACAGAAATTTGATGATTTCATCTTCAGGTTAGATATGATAAATATATATGATCTAACTTGAGGGGGAATGATGAAATCACGAGAATTTTAGGGGAAGATTTAGGGATTATTTTCCATAGTTAGAATAATAATTGATTATGTGAATATTGTAATCTTTAGATATGGTAGGAAAATTTCCCTTTCCTTTTATTTTCCTTTCCTTGTACTATAAAAGAGACCATGAACTGCATATAATGTATAAGAAAAAGGATTGTTTTCTTCTTCATGTTATCAGAGCTTTGCCTCGTTTTCTAACCCACCAAAACGATGACAGAGGCCACCGCCAATAGCAGTTCTACAACCTCTTGACTCTTTCAATGGTGAATCAGAAATTGCCTCTGCCGTGAGTTTGGGAGAAAACTCATCGTTCCAATTAACAGTTGAAAATTTGAATGGGAGGAATTTTCGAGAATGGGCACAATCTATCAAATTAATCATCGATGGAAAAGGGAAATTAGGCTACCTCACTGGGGAGATATCGAAGCCGGCCTCAACCAACACGATTCTTCTTCAAAAATGGAAGTCAGAAAATTCATTGGTGACTGCTTGGCTGATAAATTCCATGAAACCCACCATCGGGAAGATGTACTTGTTCCTGCCCACGACGAAGGACGTATGGGATGCTATCAAAGAGACATATTCGGACTTTGAGAATTCATTGCAGATTTTCGAACTCAAAACAGAACTTTGGTAAACCGAGCAAGGTGATCGAGAAGTAACAGAATACTACCTGGAGATGTTGGCTTTATGGCAAGAACTCGACTTAAGTACTGAAGAAGCATGGGATTGTACAAGCGATAGCGCTCGATTCAAGAAAAGGCTGGAAAACGAAAGAGTTTTCGAATTCTTGGCAGGGCTGAATCGCGACCTAGATGACGTTAGAGGACAAATTCTCGGCAGGAAACCCTTACCGTCGACAAGGGAAGTATTTTCAGAGGTTAGGCACAAGGAAAGAGGGTGAAGAATCATGCTGGAGACAATCGGAGAAGCTTTGGGGACTGCTGGGTCATTGATCTTTGGGGCTGAGTCTTTGGCTCTGTTGTCTAAAGGAACTGGGCTATCAAATAATGGGCCAAGTCTTTTAAAAGGTACCCCTGGAGGTTCTAGCTTTGGGTCAACAAGTGGGCTTGAAACTCTGGGTTTTTATTCAAAAGGAACAACAAATGGGTCAGACTCAGGCAACAGAAAGGACAACCTTAGTGTGAGCATTGTCGCAAGCCAGGACATAAAGAAGACACGTGTTGGGAGTTACACGGAAAACCAGCCAACTGGAAACCAGAACAAGTAATAAATACCGTGGAAATCAAGTATCAATTCACAACCAAGCAGGAAAGTCGAAGGAATCAAATAATGCATTTAACGCCGAGCATATGGAGCAACTCTACAAAATGTTTTCTAGCCTACAATCATCAAGTCAAACCAATAATCCTTTCGGTTCACTAGTTCACAGAGGTAACTTTTTGAGAGCATTAAAATCTATCACTCAATCTAAAACACCTTGGATCATTGACTCCGGAGCCTCGAACCACATAACAGACTCCCACTTATTCTCATCTTACTCCCCATGTACTGGTAATCTCAAAGTTAAAATTGCAGATGGCTCCTTATCCACTATCGCAGGAAAAGGGACTATTCGAATCTCTAAGTCTATAACCTTAAAATTTGTTCTTCATGTGCCGAATTTATCTTGCAATTTACTATCCATAAGTCGGTTAACAAAAGCCTCCAACTGATCTGCTAAATTTTTTCCATCTCATTGTGTTTTTCAGGACCTATCATCGGGGAAGACGATTGGCAGTGTTAAGGAAAGCGAAGGACTCTATTACTTTGAAGAGGAAGATGTGGGTAAACAGTGTCAAATTAAAATGTGATTCTACGTTTGTCCTTAGAAATAGTGAGATTATGTTACGGCATTTTAGAATGGGACACCCCAACTTCCAATATTTAAAACGTGTATGCCCCTCTATTTTTTTGAATAAAAAGACAGTTGATCTTCAATGTGAAATCTGTGAACTTACAAAGCACAAACGTTCATCATTTCCAAAATCCATATATAAACCCTCGAAGCCATTTTCTATGATTCATAGCGACGTTTGGGGCCCCTCACGAATTCCAAACCGTACTCACTCTAAATGGTTTGTGACATTCATTGACGACCACACTCGAATTTGTTGGATTTACCTACTAAAAGATAAATCTGAAGTTCGGGATGTATTTGTCAACTTCCACTCTATGATTCAAACACAGTTTCAAACCCAAATCCAAATCTTACACACAGACAATGGCACCGAATACTTCAATAACATCTTAGGCGACTATCTCCAAACACATGGCATTATTCATCAGAGTACATATGTTGATACTCCCCAACAAAATAGGATTGTTGAACGAAAAAATAGACATATACTAGAAGTCGCCCGTGCTTTAATGTTACCTATGAACATGCCTAAAATATTTTGGGGAGGATGCTATCCTTACATCCATTTATCTTATTAACCGAATGTCTAGTCGAGCCCTAAACTTTGAAACTTCTCTCCAAAAATTCCAAAAATATTTTCCAGCTTCCCGTCTTAGCTCCAATCTATCTCCACGAGTGTTTGGGTGTACAGCCTTCGTTCACGTCCAATCCCATCAAAGAGGCAAACTTGATCCCCGGGCTATTAAATGTGTCCTGATTGGCTACTCTCCTACACAAAAAGGATACAAGTGCTATGATCCTTCCACAAAGCGAACTTTTGTAAGTCTTGATGTCATGTTCTTCGAAAATAAGCCATACTTTGAAGAAAAAACCTCTCTTCAGAGGGAAACCTTATATGAAGATCAGTTCTTTGACTGGTTCTTTGACCTTAGTCTCTCTCCTCCTGAACCTGCTCTATCTACCCCTCCTTCCGATACTAATATGCCAATAACAGAAGGAAACTTGAATTTAGGGGGAGATGTAGAAAAACAAAAAGATAAGGAGATATTAGTTTACTCACGAAAACCAAAATCAAAGAACATGGAGAACCTCGTGATCGAAGCACCAAGAGAGTCAGAACCGATGGTAGTTCCTCAGAAAGTATCAAAGATACCTGATACTGACCTACCTATTGCCCTCAAAAAACAAATACGGTCATGCACTCGACACCCTATCTCAAAATTTATGTCATATACTGCTCTATCTATAGAATTTCGTACTTTCACTGCTCGTCTTAACAATATAGTTTTTCCAAGGAATATTCAGGTGGCATTGGAAATTCCGGAGTGGAAAGAGGCAGTTTTGGAAGAATGAGTGCATTAAAGAAAAATGAAACTTGGGAAGTGATGAAGTTGCCACAAGGAAAGAAACCCGTGGGATGTAAATGGCTCTTCAGCGTGAAATACACAATAGATGGTACCATAGATCGGTATAAAGCTTAATCAGTTGCTAAAGGATACACTCAAACATATGGTATTGACTACACAGAGACGTTTGCACCAGTAGCAAAGCTGAATACAGTTCGAGTCCTTCTATCAATAGCGGCAAATTTGGACTGGCCACTCCAACAACTTGACATTAAAAATGCATTTCTAAATGGGGAATTGGAGGAAGAAGTATTTATGACTTTACCACCAGGTTTTTGTAAGGAGGAAGAAAGAGGTCTAGTATGCAAGCTAAAGAAGTCATTATATGGACTCAAACAGTCACCAAGAGCATGGTTCAACAGATTCGCAAAAGTATTGAAATGTCAAGGATATCGTCAAGGACAGTCAAATCACACTATGTTTCTCCGGCAATTTGAAAATGGTACTATAACTATTCTAATTGTATACTCTGATGATATTATTCTGGAGATAATAGGGCAGAAATGGAAAGACTAAAAAGGAGTCTTGCTATTGAATTTGAAGTAAAGGATCTGGGATCAATGCGATATTTCTTGGGAATAGAAGTTGCTAAATCAAGACAAAGCATTAGTGTATCACAACGAAAATATGTTCTTGATCTTCTAACCAAAACTGGCATGCTAGGATGCAAACCAAGTGATACGCCCATAGACATGAGAAGAAAAAACGATGACGAAGGAAAGTCTGTAGAAATAGACACATATCAAAAGTTGGTTGGAAAGCTGATCTACTTATCACACACCAGACCTGGCATAGCATTTACAGTTAGTTTGGTAAGTCAACACATGCACGCTCCAAAGAAAAGTCATCTTGAAGCTATCTATAGGATACTCAAGTACCTCAAGGGCTCCACAGGAAAGGGGCTATTCTTCAAAAAGAGTGAAAGGAAAGAAGTAGAAGTTTTCACAGACGCGGATTCGGCCAGATCAACAAACGATAGAAGATCCACTACAGGTTACTGTACATTTGTATGGGAAAATCGTGTAACTTGGAGAAGTAAGAAATAAAATGTAGTGGCAAGAAGTAGTGCTGAAACAAAATTCAGAGCGGTTGCGCAGGAAGTATGTGAAGGACTGTGGTTAAAAAAGCTCCTTGAAGAACTACATGTCACAATAAAGCCACCAATCAAACTTTATTGTGACAACAAAACAGCTATCAATATTTCTCTTAATCCAATTCAGCATGATCGAACAAAACACGTAGAAGTGGACAGACACTTTATCAAAAAAAAAGTTGAAGAATGAACTATTTACATGACCTATGTTCCTACGCAAGGATAAACTGCAGACATCTTTACGAAAGGACTATCAACACAGAAATTTGATGATTTCATCTTCAGGTTAGATATGATAAATATATATGATCTAACTTGAGGGGGAATGATGAAATCACGAGAATTTTAGGGGAAGATTTAGGGATTATTTTCCATAGTTAGAATAATAATTGATTGTGTGAATATTGTAATCTTTAGATATGGTAGGAAATTTTCCCTTTCCTTGTACTATAAAAGACACCATGTACTGCATATAATGTATAAGAAAAAGGATTGTGTTCTTCTTCTCTCTCTCTCTATATATATATATATACATTTTTTTTTTTTTTGGTTTAATATGCCCCTATTTAATGTACCTTATTATCAATAACTATAAACTAATCTTATTTAAAACATTATTTAATGTAGGGCATATTAGGAAAAATGTAAGAAGAATTTATATTTTCAACTATATTAATTACATTTTCTTAATCTATGTGAAAATCTATGTGATATTACAATTTTATGAGTATTTTAATAACTAGCAGTTAAAACGCAGAATTTTCCAACATTGCATCCAAGGTTCTCCATTGTGGTCAAAGATAGCAGAAAAATCTATAATTTCAATACTATGTTGATAAAAAATCACAAGTTAAGCAGGAAACTATTAACCTGGAAAGGCAGGATTTTCTGTTTCTCACGGTCGTACGCAACAAGTTCACAGTCGAGAACAAATGATGTTACAGAAGGTTTCTTCAATCTGCAGTCAGTCTGTGAATGTTATTAACCATTGACTAAAACAAATGATGTCAGGCATAAAGTTTAATCATTCGTAAACCTGTCAAAATAGATCATAACTCTTTGAAAAAATAAAATGGTAATAAATCATGAGCAACCACAATCCACCGACTGAACCATAAAAGACCTATTAATTCAAAAAAAATAGTATCTTAATAGCCCCCAAGCATAGACCATGTTGCAGTACAGTTTTATTTATGGTGTTCAACAAATAGGATAAAAAGTACGACGGCTACTCATCTAATAGTAGCATGGAAAGAGAAGGGAAAGATATCTTTCTGAACCTGTTATTTTAAGCAGGAGGCAGAGAAGATGCACGTGTTTTTTGGATAAACCAAGTGAGTTGTTAATGCTTGCACAGCAATTTAAATTTTCAATATTCAACTAATTTGTTAGTAGTTCAAAAGTACAAAGTCTAAGAAAAACAAGATTATAAAAGTCAGATATCAACAACAGACAAGGCTGGAATTTTACTATCCAGCTACAAGGAGTTTCAGGGTCAGGAGTCCTGTCCCAGTGCTCAAAGTCTGATAAGACTAGAAGCTCAAGGTATCCACATGCGGGGAGAACCAACTCCATTTTCAAGAAGGCTGCTCTCGCTCTATTTTTTAGTTGTCTTATTCATGTAATGGAAGTAGTACTTGTTTTAGGCTTGAAATTTTCTTAAATCTCTTATTTTCCTTTCCAAGTGATGTAATCTCCGGGGTAAGGCTTATATTGTCTCCCTCCCTCTTGTACATCTAGGTTGAGGAATAGAAACCCAGCCTAGACATTGATGGTGTCTCTATTAAAAAAAATCTCTGTAGCCTTCACGTTTCAGTATCATAAAAAATTGAGTTCATCAACAAACACATTGATTCCAAAAGCAGGCATCTAGTTTTATAAGCCAAGAAAGGAAACTTAGCTATAGATATCAATAGGAGAAAATATACACCTTGTAATAGCAGCAACAACATCAGGAAACTTTCCAGTATTTCGTTCTGCATTTCGACTGTATATCTCCACTAAACCATTCTCCATGTAGTGTATCTACATGACAATTTACAGTAATGTCAGCTAAAGATCAAGAATTTACTTTCCTTTTGAACATTTATACGAGATGACCTACAGCATATTTTCTTTTAGAAAGTATTATTACCTGAGCACGTTCTCCATCATACTTGTATTCACAGGTGAACTCTATGTCATGAAACTTCTCTACAATTTCTGATACTCCTTTAGTTGGTTTAGCCAACATGGGTCCAACTGGAATACCTGGTGAAAAGTTACATGTCTTTGGGAGATTCCACACACCCGCAGCAAGAAGAGTAGGAACTATTTTATCGTACACAGGAATAACAGAGTATACTTGTTTCACAATTTTTGCTGCCTGTCAATTAAAAAGTCATAACCAAAGAGATAAAATCAAATGAGAAACCATATTCTAAAAATGTTCATTATATGCCTAAATAATGTATTTTAAGGAAAGAAACATTGACAAAATAAACATTGTCGAAAGGGCACAAAGACACGTTATATACTTATATGTTAAATGCTGTTTTATGGGAAGTTACATAGATATTTAAAAAAAAAAAAAAATTATTATTATCCATGGCAAGCGAACTTTAATTGTTTCACCATGAACACTAAACTTTCCATTTAATGTCACCAAGGCCATCGAACTTTAACTTGTTTCTAATAAAGTTCGGGTAAATAGCACGAGGGGCCCCAAACCTTTGAGCCTTTTGACTAAGCACTTTCGAACTTTCGACTTCTAGCACTTGGATTCTCAACGCTTTCAAATGTCAGCATTTGAGATCCTTTTGTAACGAAAAACATCAATTTGACCAAGGTCAAATTTTGTATAAAATGACCAATGTACACTTAGTTTGATTTAAAATAAAAAGAATAACAATAACTTGAAATAATACAAAAGAAAAGAATTAGAGATTAAATAATTAAAAGTGAAAAAAAGATGAAGAAAAACTGAGGCCCGTCCCCTCATTCCCCAAATCAAATCCACCAATCACCCACAAAACATGAGGCCTGTCCCCTCATTCCCCAAATCAAATCCACCAATCACCCACAAAACAAGTGGCTCCCACTACCGTCACCACCAATACCTATATTGATTCAAACACAAATTGAAACCTTAAATTATAGAAAACAGAAAAAACTACAAAGTTGATTCATTAGAAAACTTTTATGTTTCATAAAAAACCAAAGTTTCTTCTTCGAGTCATTTTATGTTTCTTCTCTTTTCTTTTTTCCTTTTTTTCTTTATTTCTTTGTTTTAAATCAAACTAGTAATACAATAGTCATTTTACTCAAAATTTGACATTTTAACAATTCAACTGATTTTTTCATTACAAAAGGACCTTAAGTGCAGACATTTGAAAGCTTTGGAGCTCCAAATGCCATAAATCAAAGGTTTAGATCCCATCGTCCAAATGAAAGTTAGAGACCTTAGTGCTATTTATCCTATAAAGTTTGGTGGTTTTGGTGAAGGTTTTGGTGAAACAAATTAAGGTTCGACGGCCATAGTGATACTAAGCCCCTGTTTGATTCAACTAAAAAATATATTAAAATCAAAATCAAAATCAAAATCAATAATAAATTTTAACCGTTCAATCACACATTCCATTAACTTTTATCAAAATTTAGTAATAACTAATTTTTATTTAAATCAACCATGGGCTAAATGGAAAGATAGGTGGCCACAAGTGAAATTAACAATAGATAAAATTAACACGAGACTGAAGTTTCAAAGACCATGTAAAAGATTATATTAATGTATAATGGCCACTCAACATTTTCATAATATAGTTAAAATAAGCTAATGAGGGTACTATTGAAACCGAAGAACAATTGGCCTATTTATAAGGTGCTTACAATCACCTTATAAATAGCAGCCATACATGCTCTTAATTAAGTTATACAATTCTAAAGCTCAGTTCAAGCAATTGTAGGTCAAATACGCAGAGATATAGTTGCATGAAAGTTTATCATAATTTCTCTACCAATATATTACTTACTATTTTGAGTTTCCACTTATGATACTCAATCTGCTTGATGTCGACATTCTCATAGAGATATACTAATTCGGTTAGCATAACAATGGGAAACAACTACAAGTCTATTCCAAATGTAACAAGTTTATACGTAGAGTTTGATTTAAACTAATTCTAAAATAGTTTTATTACCTAGAATAATATTTATTTAGATTAGTTTTGATTTATTGAGTTCATTTAGACTTAACTCTTTATCATATAAAAGAGAACCTAGATATTTAATATATTCACAATACAGTTTTGATATAATAGAGGTCATTTAGACTCTTATCATGTAAAAGAAAACCTAGAATTTAGAACATGTTTGACCTAAATTTTTTTAAGTACAGATTTTATGAAAAATCATTTTTTTTTTTTTGGGAGAATGCATAATAAAAAAATAGGAAAAAGTTATGGGTGCATATGCAAAGTATTTTATTGAGAACATATGTGACTGAAAACGAATTTGAGGGAAAATGAGTTTTAAAAAATCTGCACCAAACATGGGATTAATGCATTCACATTATTATTAATATTGAATTACAAAATTTCCACCCCTTCAATTTTTCCTCTCCTTTTTTTTCTCTATTCAATTGCTTCTCACTTTGTTTTGTCATTTTTATTTTTACTCGTTTTCTTTCTTTTAATTTTGACAAATAAGAACAATAGAGAGAAGGATAACTAACAATTCTTTGTGATTTTTTCTTTTTATTTTAAAAAGTAATAAGAACATGGAAAATGAAATGTGACAATGATTTTTTTCTTTCCAATCGACAATAGTAACAATACCTTTTTTTCCTTTCGCAAACTATATTACCATGAGTAGCAACAAAAAAGTACCAGTCAGCAATGAGCAGCATAGGAAACGGGTTGTATTTTTCAAGAATTGTTCACTCAAAACAATTGGTAGACCTGACCAAATAGATACAGTCATAGGCATAAAGAATTTCAAGCAGATGATTTTGTCATGGATCATATTGCTCTCCATTGTTATATAAAAGTGAAGAAACATAGTGCTCACTCACTTGGACACTTTCCCGTCATTAAAAACACTCGAAGTAAATACACATATACTTGATTTCAAGTCTAACTGCATTCTCATTGTCTAGCAGTAATAGTCGTATTTTCGACATTGCTGATTTATACCCCTATCTGGTACTTTCAGACCTCCCCAGTTGAGTCAACCAGCTCTCTCAGTTCCACAAGCTCCTACAGTGACAACCCATGAGATGTCATTGTGAGGTTCTCCATGATCATTAAGGTCCATAGCCTACAAGTGACGGGCTTTCAAAAAGAACCTTTGAGCGGAGGTTTACTTGTTGCTTCAAAAGATGGTGGTTAATGAAGAACTCTGGTCCAGTAGAAAAATTATCCGCCAATGGATGATATATGGACCACAGTAGAAAAGTTCTAACATCCCAACACGGAATTGCTAGACAACTATTTTTTAAGTTAACTTGTCACAGTTTAATTCTTCATGCCCATGGAGAATTTAATTGGAAACAACTAAAAGTTTATTATAGAACTAACAAGTTTAGAAGTACACTTAAATTTAGCCCCCATTTGAATCACATTATATTTCATTCCATTCCATTCCATTTTTCTCTCTCCTATTTTCAACCACACAATCTTTCATAAATAATATTACACGTAAATCGAAAACTTTTCTTTCTTTTTCAACCACTCAAAAAAAAAATAAAAAATAATTTATTCCACCCATTTTCATTTCCAAAAAATGGGGGCCAAACGGGGGCTTAGACAAGGCTTTGGTAGTTTGATTACCTGGAATTTTATTTCTATGATTAGCTTTGATTCTTCAAGAGCTCATCTAGACTTAACATGAAATGAAACCTCAGATTTCATTTTATTCAGATTGTTATTGACATTTAATCACAAAATGTCTTTCCATAGTTCTTCTCTTTTATCTAAATTTCTATTTCTTTTTCTCTCCTCTTTTCTTTTCTTCTCCTCTCTATTTCTCTTCTCTCTTTCTCTATCCAATCACAAATGAAAACTCTCTAGGTTTCAAGCAACCCATATCAAGAAACTATATGGGCAAGGGTCAATCCAGCATTGGAATTCATTGCAGCCAACTCGCTAAAATTTATTATTCAAGAGTTGCATAGAAATTTTATTATCAATATTATTTTTTGATGACCGTGGATGTCCGGACCAACTTATGTGCACCTCGACTAATCTCATGAAGCCCTAAAAGTTAGGGCCGGGTACTCGCCTCAATGGCTTTGAGGGGGCTTGAATTGGTGACCATTGGGAAGCAAACCCAAGGCCTGACCACTGAACTACCTTTCAGAGTTTGCACAGAATTTATTAAAGAGATTTTACCGAAATTCATTAGTCTAAATTAGTTATAAATTAATAAAGACTTTCAGACCTTTTGCTGAAGTCCTGGAAGTACCATTGACATATTATTGAATATGACCAAAAGAAAAAAATACAACAGTAACACCATAATCAACTTCTACAAAATTCAATCTAGAAGTAACAAACTTACAATTAATCATCTATCTTGTGAAGGTCTAAATCAAAAGACCACATATCCATCATATAACAAGGTATAACAGTAATTATACTATGAAAATTATCAAAAAAATGTTTGATGAAATCAACATAAGCTAGTTTAGTACTTATCATCAAGCTTGTACATGTAGTCACTATAACACAAAAAGCAGTCAGACTCAGCCGTGATGATTTACGAATGAAACATTCTGGGTGAATAAACATCAAGAAAATAATAAAAACCAGTTAGGGCAAGTGCATTCTAGCATTTTCAATTGCAAAAAATATTTACAAGATTGTATAAATTCTTCGAAAATAATACAGTGTTAACATATTTCAAAAGTAACAAAGTTTTCAGTTACAGGGTGATGATGTATTTTACTATTAGATAATACCTACAAGAGCACTTTTCAGTTACTTATTTCTTGCTCCGTACTGATATAAGAACACATTATTCAGTTCACTAATGATCAGGACAAACAAGTAAATACTGGGTCACGGTAGGAAACTTTTTAATGCAGAATTAACACCTAATTGTGGCCTAAATGAAATAATAATTATAGAAACATATTGTACACCAAATTCCAATGCCACTAGAAATGGCCTTCACATCGCCATTCTCAAACAAATAGTTCGTGCATGCACTGCACAAAGCCTTACCTCTTCTAGAGGATTATTGACATTTCCAGGAGGAGAAGAATGCTTCTCAGAGTACACTGCAGCATGCCCCAGTGCAACCAAGAGAGTTTGTTCTGCCAAACCAATGCGCAATTTTGTCTGCATATCTTATTCAAATAATGTTTATAATGTTACAAGAATCAAATACAACAGAAAACAATGTGTTTGTTTCAACCTGGAGTAGGCGTATCAAATATTGAGGTTCACAATCAGTGGCTGCAACAAGTAAAGCCTTTATGTGATTCTTTTTCTTTTCCTGGCTATCCTTCCCAGACTCCTATGAAAATTCATACATAATAAAACACAAAATTACTGGAAGAACTAAAAAGAGATTATCTCTTGCTGCCTAAGACTTTAAGGGGGGCAGGGAATAAATCCTTCGGACTTGATAATGAACAAGTGACAAACAGCTCTACATCAGGGGACAAACATCAATTATAATATTCATTATCACATTCTTTTAATTCTTAAGTTTGCCATCTGAAGTATAGCGCTACTTGGGATGGAAAAGCATCTAAAGTCCTTCTCACTCTAAGAGGACAACTTCTGAGTTGTTAAAGTCAGGGGAATCACAAGGGGGGCAATTGAAAGAACTTTAACTTGCTACAATTTAAACTTCATATACCACCCAATATTATATTCTATTATCTGAAAACATTTGAGTTATTACGTTCGTTTCCTTTTCTAATTCTTCCATGTCCTTGGACAAGCCACTGGCAGATAATTACTAGCAATTGCATATTGATGAATTTTTTGGGGTCTTCAGCACAACTAACTAAAATATGGGTATCCAAAATGGAAATAAAATAATCTTAATTGGATTAAGAAGGGCATCCTTCGTATATTCCTATTTGCAATAGGAACTAAACCATTTGTTGATAACAGATAAATAAACATGTTGGACAATAAAAACGAGGCTATGGCAAAACAAAACACAAGGGGGAAAGGAAATTCGGCCACCTTACCTCTTGGTATGTTTATTTTCTTCTTCCATTCCCATAAAATCTCTCCTTTTTTATTGCTTGGGACCAAGAAAATATTTGGCCCTCTTTGCAAGCAGGTGCTCTCACAATGAGGGATAATTTTTGCAATAGTATTTCCCTCAAGACTGGTAATTCAAGTATTAAATTCTCATACTTTGAGCTACAATTCTTCAGTTTTTAGCAGCTGCAGGCTCTAGACTGCAACACCTTGCTACTGGACAGTACTTCCATTGTTTCACAAGAAATAGGGGAGAGAAAGAAGCACAACGTAACTCTGGATTAGCGCTTCTATAAGCAGGGGAGAAAGGATGAGGTGAAAGAGACCGGAGAAGAGTTTAGTGAGTAACTTAACTTCTGAGTAACTTAACTTCAATATTTCTCTCTATTTTTCTCAAATTCAGAGAACTGTATAATTCACTTAAATAACTGATTTAACTTTCAAATATCATGCTTCTAATTTACTTACTTTGTCAGGCAAATTTGAGAGTCTAATCGTAATGGATAAATAGCTTATGAATGAATTCGTGAATCAATTATCTGGTAAAATTCTCTCCTCTCTACCAGTTATTTTTTCTCATTTGTTTTCTTCTCTTCCGCTAATTCTCAGAAATGGTGCAGTGCAGGATTTCTTCTCACGCCAATGCAGGTAAAACTTTGGCCTTCTAGTGAATTTTCAGGCTGACATCACAAATTTCCAACACTAGTACTACATTTCATTATTTTAGTCTCTGATACTTCAGTTCCTTGCACATGGAAATCTTTTGATTTAGAATAGGTCAATAATATAGCCACAAATCTTTATGCTATATCATGGTCAGCTTGAAGTATAGCTTGAAGGCCTTAAAGCAGCCAACAAATAAAATAAGGTTATGAAAGGTCTGAAATTTAATGGGATGCCATCTAGCTATAGGTTTCTAACTACGCTTGTGATTCTAGCAAGACAAATATTTACTTCATTTTTTATTTGAATTCAATTAACATGAAATAAGATCACGGTGCAGCTAGATTTTCCATTCTTAATGCTAAAAGTTCATCAATCACAAACCAAGTGTCCTCAACAATAGATGAGTCCGACAAATTTAACACAGCCGGAGAAACGTGTTTGCTTCATAGCAGTCATTTGCTTTATTTCAAGCTCCAAAATTTCTGGCAAGTTATTAATGTACTTCTACTTTCTATCCTTTACGGTGCAAAACAAAAAATGAATATCAACAACACTGATTAAGAACAGTGATTAACAACTTAGCGTACGTACTTCATAAGCTACTATTTACTAGTGTATGTGCTTCAAAAGTTATAACACAAGAAAAGGGAATTATAACAAATAGAGCAACTCAAAAACCATTCATTTGCATGTATGGGATAAGTGCTCGGTCTTCAAAATGATGGAATTCAATCAAGTCTAGAACCTTTCTGCCAGGATTACAATAATGAGCAAATAAAATGTGGCACTCAAATCAAATACCAAAGACATAAGGTGACATCACAAGATCTACTTCAAAACAAACCAAAAGATTAATAATGAAGAAGGATGACCATAGACTACCTTAGCAATAAGTCGGAATGTTTCAAACACTTTGGTAACAGTTAATGCTTCTGGTTTGCGCATCAAAGGCTGTGATGAACGGCTTGCTTTTGCAACAAGACCTAAATCTCCAAGCTCCTGATATTAGTAGACATTGAAATGCATTATTTGAGAAATGATTGTGAGCGAAGGGTAACAAGAAATGCAGATAGAAAGAGCCACATGACTGTAACATATTATCAAACCATAAATAAAACTTGATGCTGCTGCTATTTTTATGGAACAGAAGCGTAAATAGAAAGCACAATAGGAATAGTTAAATTACTATTCTCTTTCATAAAAGTTATATGCTTTCAAATGAAATAAGCTAACAGCATACAAAAATCAGTAGAAGCATAAATCACTGTGAAACCATTGAGTGAATATTTGTTATTCTAAAAAGCAATTTCTGTTGCAAAAGAATGCTTGTAGCCCTCAAACCTATAGTCAAAATTTGTACTACATACACTACTTATCCCGAAAGAATGCTAAATGCTAAAGAACATGGTAGGCTAGCATAAAATTAGTGCACAAATATTTTCAACAACATTACATGACCCTCTTTTAGGTAGCTGCAGAATAGATGACTTAGCCACTGTAGTAACTAGTGAAAATGATCTAACAACTAACAATAATAAAAAAAGATTAGTAGAGTAACGACTAATCTCATCCTCACCAATTCCAATAAGCCTTCAAAGATTAGTATGGCTTTATTGTCTCAGACATTATGCAAATGAATCCCAACTAACAATAGGAGAGCACAAACATAGCAGATTATTATTAATCAGCCCAACTTCGTTCGATTTCTCAACCATAAATTTCCAGAATGGACAGTTAATTAAGATGGAAAAATCTCAGGTCAAAACAACCCAAGCAACTTTTTATAAAGTACTTAACAAAGAACATATATAATCTCAATACACGGAAATGATAATTTATTAACTGATCAAGTAGTCAATTACAGCTGTGACAAATAAAAATCAAGGCCCTTGTTTGATCCCCATTCTTTGGAGAAAATGAATTCTTCAACGGTATTTGACATAATTTTAACCACACATTCTTTAATAAAATAATATTACACGCAAATCCAAAATTTTTCCTTATTTTTTAACCACACATTTCACATCAATACACTATTCAAAAATTTATTTTTCCCATCAAAATGGGGCTCAAACAAGGGCAAGATATATAAACAGAACTGAGTGAAAAAAAAATCCATTAGCAACATATAAACAGTTGAAACGTCAATGTTAATTAGAATAATTCAAGTCAACACCTTGTATTGCTTCTTAATGTGTGCTTCCTTAGTCCCACAAGCCTCTGCAAGCCCCTTGATAATTGAAGCATCCCCAATCCCAAGCTCCAGACCTTCATGTGCAGATGCAATCCTGTTCGCCAGGAGGTATACAACTGCCACCAAGTCATCTGGTGTCGTCTCAATTACAGTCCTTAACATATTACACACGATCTCCGTGATTGCAATCCTGCCTGACTCCTTCGATATTGCGTCAAAAGCTTTCACCACAAACATAAATGGAATCCTCTCTCCCTGCCCCCAATACGCGGCCCTCTTCACATCAAAACTAGCTGCCTTCTTCCGCAACTCTGCTACACTCTCATCTGGACTAATCAACACCTTGGCTTTCTTTGCCACCTTTAAGCCTTTATCCGAATCAAAACTTTTCTTTGGACCTGTTATTTTATCCTTTTTTCCACTTTGGGAAATAGAAGAATTTTCATCTGCAGTTGAATCAAGAGTGGTTTTTCCACCATTCTTCAACAAACTCTCAACATGGGCAGTTTCAATTTGGTCAGAATGTGAGTCTTTGGTGCTTAATTCGTCTTGTTTTGCATCATTTTCAGCTGGGTCGGAAATGGGATTTTGAGAATTATTCTTTGGGTTTATATTGGGATTTTGAGAACTTTCAACTGGGTTTTTGCGTTTTCTGGGGGAGGATTGCTGTTGGGTTTTGGATGACATCTGTTTTTTCTTGGAAGCATTGGACATGAGGACATCAAAAGCTGAGGGCCGAGAGGAAGACATTATTTTGGAGCTAGGGTTTGACTGAGTAAAGAGGAATATGGGTTTCGAAGAGAAGGACTTTGGGAGGTTTAACGTGAACGAGATTGAAAATACTCCGGTAAAATTACGGGAGAAACTGATGCGTGTCACACGGCGGCTGTAGGAGCGGAGTGAAAACATCAACTGAGTGGGTTGCGAGGGGAGGTGAGAGAAATGGCGGGAAAGAGGTTTATTATGCGGTCGGTCGAAGGGGCAGAGGAGAACTAATGCAAAACGCCACGTCTTTCGGCTTTGCCGTAGCCAAAACTGGTTAAAATATTAAACCCTGAGCCATTTTCAGCCCTTGTTTGAACCATTTTGAGGGGAAAATGAATTTTTGAATATTGTATTAAAAGAAAATGTGTGATTAAAAAATAAAAAAATTAAATTTTTCTATAATATTATTTCATTGAAGAATGTATTATTGAAATGATGTAAAAAATTGTAGAAGAATTCATTTTCAAAGAATAGGGATCGAACAAGGGCTAAAATGTATATATTTATTAGCAACTGTATAAAAAGGGATTTTTCTCATTAAGGCTCCATTTGTTTTCCATTTATATAAAAATGAGAATGAAAAATATAGATATTATGGACCCACACAAAAGATAGAAATTCAAATATGGTAGTTTGATGTGAAAAATAAAGATCATATTTTTCATTTTAATGAGAAACTAATGGAAAACAAGCAGGGGCTAAATTTGAAAATAAACCAAAATTTGTCACTTTTACTAAGGATACTCAAAATATGAGGTTCAAATTATCTTTAGTGATACCTTTTTAGGAGCATTTAATGCTCATCGGTATTTGATTTGAATGTCATTAATACAATAATGTGATGATTTAAATTGTGAACTATAAACATTGGACATATATATATTATATTGGATATGAATATTGTTAATAAAAAGGAAAAAAGATTTTGAAAATGAACATAAACAAATTTCTTCGAACGCTAACAAATTCTGACTTTCTAACAATCTTTTACATTCATTCATCAAGAAGACATTACTATTAGATTCATCATCCATTTTAAGAAATTAGCATATTACGAATTGTTTATATTTTTACCTTATAACTTACTACTTTTGAAATGATAAATGATTTCGAAATTATTATCAAAAAGACATTACTATTAGATTCATCATCCATTTTAAAAAGTTAGCATATTAAGAATTTTTTATATTTTTACCTTATAACTTACTACTTTTGAAATGATAAATACAACATGGTCATACTTATTCGAAATTTTCGAAATTATTATTCATTGATTTATTTGGTATCTCAAATCTTTTTAAATAAAGATATCAATATCCTCTATAAAATGTGAATTTAATGAAGTATTGAGTTATTTATTTAGAAAGATGTAGTCATATTGTAATTGAGAATATATTATCACCATTAATATCTTGAATAATTTCTTTCAATCAAATGTAATAAATTTGACCGAGTTTAATGCCTTCCATTAAAGTAGACTAAGTTTTCCAAAAAGTGAAGTGTGTTTCTATGTGAAAAGTATATTTATTTTTGTCTAATTGTCTCCAGTTATATGAAGGTTGTCCCCAGTTACATGAGCTAGTTAATTTTCCTTTTTGTTAAATTCCATATCTAGTCACTAACTTGCAATTTTCCTAAATGTTAAACAACCTCTAGTATTTTCAAAGTGTTTTGTTTGAGGTGAACTATACAATTTTATATTTGAAATTTATTGATGTTAGAAAACTATATTAATATTATTTTAAATTTAGTATTTTGGTGACTTTAATATTTGTTGACAGGTTGTCCCGAACCCACCAACTCAAGCTAACTTGATCGATATTTGGTTGGGTTGGGACATAAACTCACCAACTCAACTCACGCCCACCCCTACCAGGGAATAAATGCTCATCCATATAAAAATATATATATATCTTTAAAGTCGCTAAATAACAATTGAATAATACCATCAACAAAAGGATTCATTTAAATCCTACTAAACAGTGACATTGAAATAATATTCATGTCAGACTCTAATTCATTTTGCATAAACAGAAGCATGACTTTTTGCCAGATATCAATTGCACAGGCAAAGGAACTCTCGAACTACACCAAGGGATTTAAAGAGAGCAAGTGTTGAAACTTCTTTCCAACAAATAAATAGATGATTTTGTATCTCTAGGTTTATTCACTTATCTTTTTAGACAAAAAAATCTTTGAGCATGAGAGATGGAGAATGTGTGAGAGGAAAGAGAGAACCCTTTCATATTTGTAAAATGTGAAATTGTGATGATGGTTTATAGAAGAAAAGCAGTGGGATATAAGCTAAAACAAATGTACTGCATGATTCCACGTATCATTAGCACCGACAACTGCTGCAAACTATGCTACTAACGAAATGAGAGTCAAATACAAGGTGCCTTAGACAATAGCCTTAAAGTAGAAGGATTAATAAAGTTTTGTAGCAATAATATTGTTACACTCCTAGTTAAACCACTTCAGAACGGCACACCCGAAGTGGCTCCGAAGTGATGCCCACTTCTGACCCCCTAGCTAAACTGTCACGCCACTCTCGGAAGCTCCACAGGTTCACCCGAAGTGGTTCCAAAGTGATGCCCACTTCTGTGGCGCGTTGCAAAGTGAAGAGTAGATCCACTGAAACAATCGAAGTATCCCTCAACTCCCTTAACAGATCCCTCCGCCGCCACTATCAAAAAGATATTTGTCAAGATCCCCTCTGCCTCCAAAGATCAAGTGATATGACGTCTCCATATGTCTAGTTGTTGTGACTTATCAACTTTATATCAACTCCACTCAAAAGAACTAATTGCCCGTCCACTCTAGACGCGGCTGATTGACACCTATGAGCGGACGCCTCACACCGTCAGATGCATACAGGTGTCCCACATCCAGCGGTGCTCTACCTCTATAAATACGCAAGGTTTGACAAGAAACAAAGGTAATGAAACTCTTATAACTTAACTCTCTATACTAAATAATATATATTATCCTCTCCACTCTTGCATAACTTGAGCACTGTTCCGATCACCCAACGCTGACTTGACTGTCGGAGTGTATGCGATCGCCATCACCACCACTGGTTCTGACCGTGTGTTTCTGAACATACGTTGTTGTGCTCAGAAAAGATTACGTGGAGTAACTGTCCGTTAGCCAGGTAGAGGGTGCAATTCTTGAGGTCAACAGATTGACGCCATCTGTGAAAAACTTTCCGTCCAAAAGTTTCACATTGTCCACCGGAAAAGATACCGGCAAACCATCGACTTACCCTAAAAAGGGCACGTTCTTGAAAAAGAACAAGGTCAACCTACAAGGTTCTTAACACCTTTGAAAGGATAAACAAAATGAACTATAGTAATGAAGATGCAAATTTTGAAGGGCATAGGGATGCTTCTGAAGAAGAGGTAATCAGGACCCATGTCATGCATCAGAGCCCCCACCACCAGCATCACCAAGGCAACAGGACAGCAGCGCTCACTGAAGGAATGGCTCAAATAGCTATCGGAATTAGGGACATTGCCGCTCAGAATGTGGCGATGCGTGAATTCTTTATGAAGACCCGCGGTCATCGGGGCTTCCAGATGCCTTAAGGATCATATCCAACTCAAGAAATTCCTACGCCTCATGGGCGAGGCCACTCGAGCCATCCCTTGAAAGAGAAGTGGGTGTGGATGTGACATACTACACGTAAGGGAGTCAACCAACAGAATCACCACTAGGAGAGAACTTCCCACCAGAATACAAACCCCAAAGGTCTGTCGGTGTCTTCGACAGAATAGGATAGAACCCTAGCAATAAGGTCCGCTCCGTACAAAGATCAGTCCGACAAGAGTAGGAGCAAGAACAAGTACCTCCTCTGCCTAGAAATATGCGAGAAATGAGAAATCTAGTGGATTGGGGTAGTCGAGAAGAGGCACCTCCATCTCCCCAAAATGCATCAGAGGGGGAAGACTTTGAAGGGCCGTACCGCTCCTACAAAATCGATGATGATGATGACAACCTCCCCTTCTCCAGAGAAATCCGAAGCTTCCCAACGCCTGCAAACTTCATGCTCCAAAAATCCCAAAGTATGAAGGAAAGGGGGACCTACAGAAATACCTAACTAAGTACATGACGCAGATGAGTTTCAGAGGAGCCTCGCTGACACTGAAATGTATGGCCTTTCATCTAACCCTCATCGGAGCTGTTGAAGTGTGGTACAGTAGATTACCACCCTTGAGCATCAGAAGCTGGTCAGACTTGAAGAAGACATTTCTGAACCAATACCTTTCACGAAGGGAAGGAGAGGCCTCAGTGCAACGTCTACAAGACATGAGGCAAGCTTCTGGCGAGACGTTGAAAAGCTACCTCGCCAAATTCACCGATGAAATCTTGTACTACGAGCAAGTCACTGACAGGGAGGCCTTTTCAGCCTTGAAAGGTGGCCTCAACATGAACACTCTATTTTGAAAGGATGTACGTAGCAAGAATCCCACCACCTATGACGAGCTGGTTGAAATGATGAGGATGGAAATCATCAATGAGGAGATGATTGACCATCAGAACCATGCAGCTTAGGGGCTTCTCCCGCCTCAGAGGCAGATGGGTCAAGGACCAACCGCACACCTCGTCACCCAACATTGGACCCAGGTCAGTCACACAGTAGCCCCTACATTCGGATAGGCATTGGCTTCGATCACTCTAAATGTAGTGCCAGTGCTAGCATATGAAAATGCTCCTGCCGAGGCTGGGCCATTCGGGGGAACAAACAATCGGAAGAAGAAGAAGAAACGATCAAACAGGCCCCTGGAAGGGGCAAGGTTCTGCACCTTTTACCAACTTTATGGACACGACACCAGCGAATGTAGAGATAATCCTCGATCCTCGAGCCGGAGTAACCCACGCTCCTCGAGAAGTGGTGAGTACACCCACAAGTCCACCTCCTCGAATAGGGGAGAGAGGCGATATAGAGACCAATTACCCAGAGGAGAAAATCCAGGGACAGAGGAGAACCCGAGCATAGGGATTAGGCCCCATCTGGAGGCTAAGTTATTAGAAAAATTGATACAATCATTGGAGAACCTCACATCGGGGCAATACCAGGAACGCCCAGCGAAACTACACAAGGGAAGCAAAGGATCCACCAATGATTACTTACATTGTAAATCAGACCCAAGAGGCCAACAGGATGGCCCCGATCACTTTCTCTCAAGAAGATGCACAAGGAGTTCACCACCCCCATTGTGATGTATTAGTGATAAAAGCTGTAGTGGCTCCGA